AACAGTGTTTGTAAGCAACTAAAAATCATTTTAAAAACACTCCACTAAATGCTACCAAAATGCTGGTCCCAAATTCCACTTTTAAAAACGTTTTATTGGCTTAATGAGCTGGCAGATGGCAAAGCTGCGAGAAACTAGAGAGAAAAGCAGAGAATCTTAAGCCGCTTAGTCAACGACAAAGCAAACCATATCCATTGGATGTGCTGCCTCCCCACCGCACCCCACAGACAGAGACCCGATGACCACTCCTCAAACACGAAAACTCCTCACCTCTCGGCGCAGAGAGACGCTTAAAAACGCGAAACTATTTATTTGAACAACAAAAATGTGTGTTAACCGGTTTACCAAATGAATCTGTTTTAATGCTGTTTTTTTATACAGATTTCAAGGTTAATTTGAAATGCAAAAAAAAAACCACAACAGATTCACAAGTCTTTTATGTAAATGGAGTCCAGCGTGGAATTTGAGTTCTTTTTTTGTAAATTAATTTACCGACTTTTAATGACTGACTGCAGGCAGCAGCTGCTGCTGACACAGTGGCCAAAAGAGATTTTCCTCAACAGATTTGTTGGACATAATTTGTGGGGGCGTACAACACACCCCCAACTCCACTCTCTGCTGTTGCTGCTGCTGGTGCCACCAGAAAACATGCAACTGTTTGTTGCATGTTTCGTGTGCGTCAAAAGAAGATGAGAGAAGCAACAAGAAAAACACCGAAATGAAAAAAAGACTCCCGATGCGGAAATGCAGATAACAAATCAAAGGAGCGAGGGAGAGAAAAACCTTTTGGAAAATTAATGAGCTGCAAACAATGCGGACATCGTTAGGCGGGAAAATAAAGATTTTGTTTTTCATGTTTTTGGGGAGTGAAAACAAAAAAATGAAAAAAGGGAGGAGTAACCACAGATGCCGCAAGGCGGGGGAGAGGTCAATATTTTGACACTAAAAAAAGATCACTTAAAAAAACCTAAAGAAAAAGTAAAAGTTTTCCTGCGGCGAAGAGTTAGATGAATCTTCAAAGGAAAATTAATTAACAAATGTGGAAAATGCACTAATGATTGATACATTCCGACATCAATCAGTTTGAATAATTGGATGCAATCAAAACAAAACCAAAACAGCAACAAAATCAATCAAGAAATCAGCAACAGCCAAAGCATCAACAGAGCAAAAGATTTCTCAACAATCCTACAAAAATAGCACAAATTTGAAGGTAAAACAAAAACACAACAAAATACAATGGAAACATCAAATGCGAGGCAAGGAAACACTTTTCGCTTTTCATTTTACACCTTTCATTAGGTCAGGTGGCTCTTCTCCGCTTTTCCTCCAACCCTTACAACCTAAATATCCCTCTTACATGCCCCTTTGTGTAATACTTTTTATGATCTGCTTTTTTTTTCTATAAACACAATCAAAACGGGGTCAATTCTCATCTATACTGTATATTGGCACACACATACTGAGGGGAATGGTAATAAGAACAAGAACAAGTGTCTAATGGAGTGGAATCAGAGTGAGTGAAGAACGGCGTGGAAGTAGAAGAGGGAGAAGGAAATACAGCTTGGTTTTTTTGATAGTTGAAATGTTTACACAGAAGAAAGAACAGATTGCAGCACTTTGATTTGAGGATTGCAAAATGGCAAGCACTTAATAGATGATGGCGGGGTATGGAGACGAGAGATAGAGAGGAGAGGCAGAATAGAGAGCAGAAGTGGAAGGAGAGGTTGAATAGAGAGCACAAGTGGGAGGAAGATAGAACGTAGAGCGTAAATTTAAGTGCTTTAGCTTTACTCTTCTCATTGGAGAGTTACAGTCCTGTGTGTGTGCGTGGATTTAAGCAGAAGCGGGCGTGGAACCTAATGAAACGAAATATTTCCGCAATAAAATATTGATGCAATCTGCGGAATGAACATATTTTGCACAATGTTTCAGTGGAGGGAGGAAGGAAAAATAAACATTACGACATGAAACAGTTAATGAAAAGATCCATCAGCCATAAGAGAAGGAAAGGGCCATAAACCAGAGCACAATGAGAAGGAGGAGCAGTAAATAAACGACGGAGAGATTTCCGATTGGGGTGATCTCATGCTGGGAATTTGTTCAGCCAAAGAAAAAGGGGTCAGTGATCAAGAATGTTATACGGAAAAGGCAGAAAAGAATACAAAGAGTAATTATAACATTTGAGCAAATTGCATGACCATAAACCAGTTAAAGTTACAGAGGGATGAAAGAAACAACAGAATGAACACCCTAAAATCGTAAAGGGTGAGTGTGGGCACTGAGAGGAGTATGGGAAATGCATAGCAACAAAATGGGAGAAAGTTCTATAGAAACAGAGAGAGCGAAAAGGAAACTCCAATTTGTTAATTGTTATCTTCCTGTTCATCCTTATCTCAGCTGACCACACGAAAAAGCTTACATCAATAAACTAAAATCATTTCCAAATATCCAAAGAATAAAACCCGGTAAAAAAAATAAACGATTTCCCTTTATTTTTTGGAGAATCATTCAAGAGCAGGAAACACAAACAAAAATCTCTCGGATGATCTGACAAAACTTTCCTCCCCCATCCCATGTTCCCGAAAAAAATAAAACGAAAAGAAAAACACACTCCAAAATGATTATTGGAATCTGATTCTGTTTTATTTTTCTGACCTTAATTTTTGCCACAAAAGGTGGAAAAAACAGTTAGAGGAGTTCTCTTTCATTATTCCTCCATTAATCGAAGTGGAAAAAAGATTTCAATAATCATTTTAACAAATGTTCAACTTCCTCTTGGATGATTTTTGATATTTCTCTTATGGATATGGAGAGAGGAAACGTCCGTTGAAACTTGTTAATTTTCATTTCGGTTAAGCAATTTGGCTTTAAACTATGGCCAAAATATCCGCTCCCACCGCTAATGAGCCATTAACACGCTTATCACAAAAGCCAAGAAGGAGCAGGGTAAAGGGGAGTAGGAAAAGAGTGAGAAAGAGGAGATCATCGAAGAGTGGGTGTATAAGAGCTGGCTATGGATTATCCACGCATATGGACACGGATTGGACCCTGGGAAATGAGGCACAGACCTAGGGGTGGTCGGGGGTGATGCCCCCAAACAAGCCCCCGGCACGTGAGCTGGGGAAGAAAACACTTTGAGGTCGGGGTCGGGGTGGGGGTTAGACGTCGGGTGGCAAGGGAAAATGAAATGCAGCCAAAACGAAAGAGCAAAAGAGCGGCGCATGAAAAATAATATGAATTTCCTCAATTAGATTTCCCAGGCGCCTGACCCCAAACGAGGCACGAAATGTGGGCAGAAAGCGGGGGGCGGTAGCAGTGGATAAAGAGTAGAAGAAGGAAATATACGACGAATGCAAATCGCATTAAGACGCGCATTTAATCTGCTCCAAGGCATCGCCTTAACCCCGCCCCAAGGCGCAGAAGAGCGGATGAGGGCAAACCGAAGGGGGATGGCTAGGAAAGGGGAGAAAACGTTTGTCTGTTGGGGTCAGCAGGTCACTCGCGGAGGTAGAGTGCGCCAGTGGGTGAGTGCAAGTTCCGCATAAACGGGAAAAAATTCATGAAAATCAATAAATAAGATGAGTGCAAGAGAGAGAAGCAGCAGCAGCCGCAGAGCGAGGAAGTGGGCGCATAAGCAGTGTATATTTTAGGGAAGGTAAAGACACTGCATCTTTCAGCAGTACTGCCTTACCATCCGTTTAATTTATTTTGTGCTCAAGTGTCGCCTGTGGGAATTGGAACGGTACTCTCTCTCTCTCTCTCTCGCGTAGACTCTCCTCTCAAGTGGAATGCATTTCAAATCCCAAGCAGCACTTGAAAGACACACAGAGAGAGGAACAATCGTACAATTTTTGTTTATGAAAAGTGCAAGGGGTAAGAGGGAAGTGGCGAGAAGAGGAGATTGCGAGAAAGGACTGACTGAAGTGGAAATGGGCAATGATAGGGAGAAAAGCAAACTGCGAAGATGGAATGAAGTGGGAGTAGGAGAATAGCAATAACAAATCCTTTTGCAATTATGTCACAATCTTTCCAGTCACATGCTTTCTCCCTCTCCCACTCCCACTCCTACTGCCAAAGCCATCAATCGCGCAGCGCAGCACAACCCACGCATATGCAAGCACAGTTACACGCACACACACATAAAGAGAGTAAGAGCGCGAGCGAAATATTATCGCAGTCGGCGGTCCGTCTCCCACAGCAAAATTTATTACGAAATCGCAATCGAAACATAACGGTAGATAGCAAAAGCACACAACTACCAACACGAAATCAAAAGCCAAAGAAATGAAATTAAAATGTAGATAGCGGGGGAAAGCACTAGATGTTGGGAGGGAGGGAGTGGGAGAATCAAGAAATGTAACGATCTTGCGCACTCCCTCCAACACACACACACTTACTGTTGCCTCCGCTGACTGCATCACACATTACTCGCTTGCTCTTGCAGTTAAAGTCAAAGAAAGAGTAGAAGAAGAAGTCAGCAACATAATAGCAGAGGCAAAGAGAGATGGAATGGTTAATGCCCAGACAAAGAAGCACAGCACAAAAGCAGGCGAATAAGCGTAACTGGGAAAGAAGTCAAGAAAACAAGAGTTGCGCCCGCCAGCAACAAACAAAATAGAAGAACGAACCACAAAAGGGAGTAGGTGGAAGTTTTTGATACCCTATCAGCGGTAATGGGAATGGGAATGTGATGCTGTTGCGACGTCCTTCTTTTGTTAATTCTTATCACTTATCAAACTTTATGGTCTCGACCCCGGTATTCCATCACACTTCCTCAATCAGCATACCCTTCACCATAAAGGGTAATCAAAGCAAAGCCAAATGCACAAGAGGAACAACAGCAAAAGAGGAAACCAAGAACACTGACACACACACACACTTGCAAAACACATTCTCCTTTTTGGAGAGTTTAGAAAAAAGTTATCTTCTCTTACTTTTTGCGACCTCAAGTTTATAGCACTTTTACCATTATTTATGGACCATTAAAAGAATCTTACATTTTCCGATACGACGGCACGCAGGCGCAGCGGGGATGTTGGCGAATTATTCGTATTTCAATTGGAATTTGTACCCCGGCGGCAAATACAATATTTGCAAAATCAAACTGCTTTTTTCTTGTGTTTTACTTTTAGCTTCACTTCCACATGCACCAATACACTAACACGGAAACAGACACAAGTGTGCAACTCACTGCAGTCGGCTTCGGGTTTGCTTCTCTTCTTCTTTAGCTTCTTCTTTTGTGTATGCGTGTGTGCGCGTTTTTATTATCTTCGGGGATGGTTTTTCCACTCTTATGAAGGATGTGTGCCAATTATTTGTTGGATTTTATTAACTTATTTCCAGCTGCGTTGCTGATTTCTTCCTCTTTCTTTATCGCTTTTTACGTGCACTTTTTTTTTAGCGACGCCAACACTTGCACACACACACATGGAAACATGCACAGGCATATACGCGGGCACAAGTAAAATTTGCCTTTGCTTCCTTTACTTTTCGCACAACATTTAAACATTTGTTGTTTTACGCTTACACACAATTACTTACACATACACGAAATGTTTGTTGAATTCGAAAAAAACATTTAACATATTCTGCGGCACGCTGCATTCAGCGACAAAAACGCGCGAAATACATTTAAGACGATTTAAGCCGCACACGGCATGGCGTTTGGGGATGGTGTGGCTTTTATTTTATTAGTTTTCCGCGATGGAAACACTTGTGCCATTTAATAATTAATATTTTGTTGTATGGCCTTTTGAAAAACACGCGCGACGCGACGCTCGCGCAACAAAAACTAGAAAAAGTGTGACCGTGGAATTTTCAATCAAATAAACCACACAACCCTCAAAAATATTAAAAAATATACCATCTCATTTTAAAAATATATCGTAATATACCGTAGTCCTAAATCACATTCCACGATTTTGATGTTCTATTTTATATTACTAGCGTGCGAAGTGTTTTACCACTGAAACAATAATTTAATCCGATTTAAGAATCAATTTGGCTTATTATAAATACTCTTCTTTATTGGAGTGTATACGTTATGACCATATATTTTACTTATTTGTATTCGAATATTTCATTAAAATCAACCCTTCTGGAAGCGCGCGCAAGAAAGGCGAACAAGAAATACTATTGTTTTTTTGAAAGGGAAAGGAAACCTAAGTAAATATTATAAGTTCTTCTATCTTTATCACATGATTGGGGCTAGACTCCAGTTGGAATTACTTCTTCTACATTGGAATTACTCTTTTGTTAGCTAAGGAACACCGGATAATGATGAAGAAATCACCATTATCGTCCAACTAATCACCGATTTCTTTGATATAATTTATTTTCTTTTATTTCTATAAACCCCATATATTTCCTATAATCAAATATTAATATATTTTAATTAAAATTGTTGTATATTAGCGAACTGTCAAACACAATTCGCAAAGCAAGGTAGCTTTCATGCGACTCCAGGTAAATAAATACGTCACAAAAAGTTGCAGGTGTGCAAGGTATACCTTCGTTTTCAATCCCCTAAAATTATACCGTAACTATACCGTAATCTTGAATCATATTCCTTGACTTTGATATTCTGATTAATATTAACATATAAATAGAGGTTGCAGAACAGAAACTGTAATAATATTCGATGAAGGAATAAATTTTGCACGCGTTTGGCTAGTTTTCATGGCCTATATATATTGGGTTATTTTCAAAATAACATTAAAAGAGGCAAAAGCAATACAGGTAAATTAGTGAAAGACGTAAGAATGGAATGTTATGTTACTTCACCGCTCGCTGCTCAACAACCGGCAAATGTATACCCTACTTCCATTCATTAAAGTCCCTAGTCCCTTTTCAAAGCTGCTTTAAAACATTATTAAACACTAACTGTCTAGTTATTTCATTATTGGTGCCTGATATTTCAAACATATCCTCAATCCTTTTCCCCAAGGGTAGCAGAATGCTGTTCAACCCGTGCCCATGTTGGGAAACAATGCTGCTCACCTTTGGCAGCATGTTGCTGGCCCATACATATTCGTGGACAGTGCTGCCGTTTTAGCACTTTTCAAGCTACATTCAAAATGTTATAGTTTTTGGTTTACACTACCTTATCCAATATGTATTACTTATTTATTACCGTTTTACCCTTTAACTCTAAAATTCCGGGACACGAACCTTAGCTGTTGTAGAAATCCGTATAAAAGCTAAATGTTGCCAAACACCTGCATTTCCGCCCTCGCCGCATCTGGTCACACTTCGGCCAATATTTTGTTTTTTTTCTGAAGTTTTTTCGATTTTCCGATTTTCCTTTGTTTGGACTGTTTTTCTGCTGTTGCTAGACTCCAAGGGCAATCACCATGACACGCCGCAGCCAGGACATACCCATTCGCCCGCGCTACGGCTACACGGAGGAGGAGAACGAGCAGGGCGAGCACACACAGCGCACGAACAGTGCTACACCCGCCTCCTCCTACACAGAGATTCCGTTTCTGGCGCAATATCCGGGCGCAGTGCCCGAGCACGTGCTGCAGGACATCACGCCAACGGCGGGGAACACGAACGGTCTGCCCGGTCAGGGCGGCAGCGATAGCTATGTGAATCTGGACTCTGGCGAGGAGGAGGACCAACCAGAGGGCGACGACGATGACAGCAATTCCAAAGACAGCTCTGGGGAGCCGCTCCAGATGCGTGGCAAGTCGGGCAACAGTGGGTGACGCTCTTAAACTCTTCTGCCATCGTTTTCTAAAGCAATTACCTGCCCTTCCAGCAGATCTTCCGTATGGCGAATCAGGGGAAATGCGTCACTTTGTGGCCCACAATCTGGAGGAGAAACTGCGCGAGGGAGCTGCCGCTGCCACGCCGCTGGACTACTCCTCGGAGCACACGACACCCTCCACATCGATGGGCCCTGATGGAGGAGAGGGCATGCTTACGCGCCGCTTTCTGCAGTCGCGGAATATCCCCGAGGTGGATGGCAGTGTGCTGAGCGACATCGAGCTGGAGGCACAATATCTGGCCACCTCGGTGGACAATCTGCTGGAGAACTTGGGCAATCTGCTGCACTCCATCTCCTCCATTACGGCGGACAATGTGGAGGTGCACAAGAATGCGGTGAACAAGCTGACGGACACGCTGGATGCTAATATTAAATGCCAGTACCAGCTGCTGGCCAAAACCGAAGAGATAACCAAGTCCATGAAGCCCACGGAGCGACTAGGTCAGAGAATGTGAGTTGGCAAGAGATTTGTTGGCCTTCTAAAGGTCCTAAGGATGTCTTTTCCCTCCCACAGCAGGGAGATCAAGCGACTGGTGGATACGCTGGACAGCATTATGTAGCAGCCAGGCAAACAGAATTCATGGATTTTTGTGTGTGTTTTCTAGTCATTCCATTATAAAGTAAATTACAAATTACAGAATCCTCTTCCTGCTGCTCCCTTCAAAGCTTCTCCACCTTTGCCTTGACTATCCGTAGTGGATCCACTGGCTTGTCGTTCTTGTCCGTCTCCACCATGCCTATGCGCTTCACCACCTCCATGCCCGTGTAGACCCGCCCGAAGATAGTGTGCTTTCCATCCAGCCATTGAGTGGGCGCCAAAGTGATGAAAAATTGTGAGCCATTTGTGTCCGGGCCGCTGTTTGCCATGGACAGAATGCCGGCGCCCGTGTGCTTGAGGTCGCCATGCAGCTCGTCCCCAAACTCAGCGCCATAGATGGAGGTGCCGCCGCGTCCAGTGCCCGTGGGATCGCCGCCCTGGATCATGAAATCTCGAATGATGCGATGGAAAACCACATTGTTGTAGTATCCCCGCCGTGAAAGCTCGGCAAAGTTGCGGCACGTGTTGGGGGCATGCTTCCAGTACAGTTCCACTGTGATTTCGCCCATGCTGTTGGGAAGAGCGGGAAAATCCCAAAGGAAATTAGTCGATTTTTGCACAGGAAAAAGTTTTCCGGGCTTGCCTAGTTTCCAGGGTGACAAAATGTGGCTGCCACGCCTTGTCGGGTATGGCTCCAGCAGCGGGATCAGGCAGGGCCAACATTTCTATTTTATCTTCTTGTTTTTAAGCTAAATTTGCTCGAAATTCGTGAACTGTTTACAATTTTTGTTTTGGTTAGTGCGAATTAAAGGAGGATTAAACAATAAGGTGGTATTGCATTTTCAGTATTTTTTCCCGTGACCAGGTGTGTGACCTGGAGAGGGTGCATTATAGATTTGATTATTCAGTTAGTGGATTTCAACATCTATCGATATTTTTAGGGCTCATACTTGAACGCAAAAGTGAGTTTTGGAATCTAATTAAATGCATAAATAGGAGAACAGAATGCAATTGACTGATATTTCCAAACAGCTTTTAAAACATATGTGTAAATAATATAGGGTATGAAAAGTGCCATACCGCATAAATAGGTAGTTGATATGTAGAAGATAAGTGTAGTTAACATGTAAAAAAATGTTACTTATTTTTTGTACCTGTCATGATGAAACGTTTTTCTGAAATGAAAATCATAAAATGAGTACTTAAAAGTAGCCAATCTTATAGAAAATTGATTAGTCTAGAGTATAAAATGATATTTTCTTTGATGAGCGTCCAAACTAGCCTTTTAAATAAAATGGAATATCAAAATTGGAAAATATGACTTTCAGCGGTAACTTTTGGTATATTTTGCATGCGACAAGGAGTACTTCGGAATATTTCCGAGGGTGGGACGGTATGTCTCAAAGATAAATCCACGGTAACACTGCGTCCGCGAAAAACGAAACAACAAAAAACGGTAGGCGCTTCCAAGAAAAATCCGTAAATCCAACAAAATAACAGCGCGCCGTGGAAGAAAATTGAATAAATATTGTAATTTTAATGAACTGAAACGCGAGGAACGCGTCGGGCGCGTGATACTACGCAAGAAGAGTGAGTGAGAGAGCGCGAATGAAAATATCAAATTTTCAATGTGCAACATACGGGCGTGTGCGTGAGTAAATCGGGAAATATGGCGAGTGTGTTTTTATAATCCAAAATTTATCCAAAACTACACTTTCTTCATGAAACTCGCCACAAAAAGTAAGCAAACAATTACAACAAATTTTTCCAAAACCAAAAAGTCAATTAAGCGAGAGCGGGCAAGTGCTGTACGTGCGTGTGCGAGTGTGCATGTTTTTTGTTGGTGGTTTTCCTTTTTTGTGTGTTTGCTGTGTGAGAGACCGAGAGCGAGCGAGAGAGAAACGCTTGAATTGAAAACGATGAACCTTAAGTAGCGCACGTAGCGTGTACGAGGGAGAGAGAAGCATAATTTTCAATTGCATTTTTAACTTTTTTTTTCGCTAAACAGTTGTTGTTGCTGCTGTAGAGCAGAGTGTCTCTGACGGAGAAAAACGTTTCAAAAATAGTTGCCATATGGAAAGTGTGTGTTCTCTCATGCGGGTCCCATATCTCCTCCTTCCAGAAGGATGTTTTTTGTGTTGAAATTCCCAAGCTACCGTTAGCCATGTGGCCAGGGGACATTTTTTGATTCATTCATATTTGGTACTTTCATACGGTATTTTTATGTTTTGGGGATTTATTGTTGTTGGTTGGAGGGGAGTTAGTGTGTGTGTTTTTTCTACACTGCCCCAACTCTCTTCATCCTCCAGCAGTCGCTGCGTCATCATCATGATCGTCAAACGTTGACGATTCATCAAAGAAACGCCGCCGGCTGCTCTCCCAACAACAAAACTCTAAGGGAGAGAGTAAGACAGCGAGAGAGAGAGAGAGTCAAACCAGAGAGAGAGCGTCGACACTCATTCATGCAAAGGATACCGAAATTCTCTCTTCTGCAGTCGCCAACGCTGCCCGCGTTGACTGCGCTGCTTACAGAGTTGGCTTCCTCCTTCTTTTTTTTGTGTGTTTTGTATGTAAATCATTTAAAGGGAAATTGTTGCACAACTTTAACGAGTACGCGGTCCGGGGGCGGGAAAGAAACAGTCTTTCTGCTTGTGGGTTTTCCCCGCATTGATTACCCCTACCATCGCTTTAGCAGCTGTCAATTAGTTTTTCCACAAGAAAAAATAAAATAGAACATTGTGGAGGAGCTTCCATATGTTGGTTGGAGTGTCCCTGTTCTTACTCCCCCGTCCCCCATTCCCACTTAACAGCTGTTGGAAAGTTTTCCACAAATAAGATTACCAGTGAGTGACCGACAAGGGTTGGGTGGCAATGGGGGACAGTGGTTCTCTAGTCCAGCTTTTATTGGCTTGTAATTGATGCCCCCTTCTGCTGTCCAGCAAACTGCTTGTTACACTGCTTGCCTCTCTCACAGCTATACCCCCTTCTGCTTGCGTGCCACTGCTTGTCTTCCATATTGACGATTGAATTGCGGCGTTGGCGATGGATTTTGTAGTAGGCAGAGGAGTAGATTGGTTGGTGGAGCTGCAAGACGAAAGAGGTGATGACGTTAGCAGCAAACCCGTTTAGGTTGAAACCATAACCGAGTTATCACCATATCCCCCGTAGAGGGCCAAGTCTGAAACTGGTGGAAATCCTGTTCAGAACGGCGGCAGAAAAACGAGAAACCTTCCAGCATGGTCTCCGCAGCTATCGTGTGAGATTAAACAAACTCTGAAACCAATAGGGTATGGGGGTATAGGGTTCACATGTTACTCGCATTGCTATGGGCAAAGTAAACCATAAACAGGGAAAACAACCTATAAGAAAAAGTATCTAGACAACAAGGGGAAAGAGCTCGATTATCATTATAAATAGAGAGCCAAATAAAGTCTATCTGAATCTATCCTTAAGATGTAGAAATTAAATAGACATAGGTTTAGGTTTGGAAATTGCAACTCCAGGAGTCTGTTCAGATATTTACCCACTTAGCGACTTTGGTAGATAATTTTACTGCTGCATATTGCTGATTTTTCTATTCTGACTGAGTTTTTCAGGGTCTACTGCTCGTCTGCTGCCGCTCGTTCCATAAAATCCATCGTTGGACATTGAAAAATGGTTCATAAATGTCACATAAATTAGGATTTCTAAATGATGTGTGATATGAAAAATAGTGTAAATAATGTGGGTCCATTCACTGCTTACTCTTTAGATATAGAGAATGAAAGAGATTGATTCTGCAGGCGATCCACACATAACTTTTCTCCCTCTATATTTCCCGTATTGTTGCCATTAATGAATGGCCCTATTAGAGCCCTTATTTCCATTATGTTTGAGTAGCACCCTTCAGTACCCTTTAGGCAGCTCTTTAACAAAAATCTCAGCTTCTTTAATGGTTTATTTTAGCTAAAATCTACTGAATTTTACTCCTGTTCCATTGTAACATTTTGATTGCGTTTCTGGGGCCTCTCCATGCTCCCAAAATTTGCTATGCCTCTCTGTAGAAACTGTCCGATGGGTTCAATATTTCACTGCTTCTGCTTCTCTCCCCTATCCAGTCTATGCAGTAGAACCGCTTGGCTTTGCCCAAGTTTGGCCAACAGACCCCAAAGTTTCGGCAACTTTTTGCGTGGTTCTTCCTCTGGCAGAATTCATGTGTTTTCGTTTGATCCTTTAACAGGGAAAAACCCATGATTTTCCACGTTGTTTGCCTCTGAAACTAAATAAACCCCACCGCTAAGACCCCGTTTGACGTCGCTCCTTAACCAGCTGCCGCGATGGTCTTCCGCTCTTCCCCACAAATCTCTTGCTGCCTCCCCCCACCACTTAAACACTGCTTTTCATCCTTCTCCGCTGCCTATCTCTCTCCCACTTGCCACATAGAGAGTGAAACTATAACTGTTTCTTGCTTTTGGTCTAAAAATATGTTCCACACTCACTCAATCACACACTCAGTTCACCCCCTCTCTCTCGCTCTGCCTATTGCATGCCTTGTGAGTGTGTGAGTAATTAAGTCTGCCCACGACTACCACACCCCTTCCTTACCCACTCTAACGCTACCTAACACATGCAACTATTTTTGCAAGTTGCCTCGCCCCTTTACCGGCTCTTAGCCTCTGTCCCTAATCCACTCGCCAACCGCTGCCTGCCTGCCTGCCGCCTCGCTGTCCGCGTCGCTGCCGACGCAAATCCTTACGTGTCAAATGGAGCCACTCTCACACGCAGATGTGTGGGTGGGTGGAGTGTCCGGGTGGGCAGGGCGGAGCGGGGCAGCACCCACGTAAGCAGCGCAGAAAAAAAGTGATTTCGCGATTCGTCCCCCGGGCAGAGGCAGCAGCAGAGGCACCAGAGTGCGACTGAAGCTTGCGCCGGCGCCAATCCAGAGAGAGAGAGAGAGAGCGAGCGCGACAGTGGCAGAGCGAGAGCTTGCTCTGGGGCCTTTGGGGCTTAAACCTCAGTCGCCAGCCACCGTCGAGAGTCTTTCAGCAAACGGCGTGGCAAGCGGACGTTGCAGGCGGCATGAGGCAGCAAAACCAGAAAAAGCAATAAGAAAAACACAGTGAGAGATTGTGTAAAAAGAGAGAGAGACGAAGTCGTCGTGTACCGTGTACCTCCGTGTGTCCTCTGCCAGGAAGCTGCTGCTACGGCAGCAAAAAGCAAGTCGCTGAAGAAGAAGAAGGTGCAAAAACAAAGTAAAATACATAAATAAACAGAAATTCCGACCTAAAAGGTGTCCCCTGATGGATTGCAGGTGTCTCTCCGGCTCTGTGTGTGTGCGAGTGTTAGTGTATGACTGTGTTGCTGTGTGTGCGAAAGTGATGAAATATTACGACTTGAACTTTTTGTGTTTTGCAATTCCCCCCACAAACAAAACAACAAACAAATATAAATATTAATTTAGTTACACCCAAAAAAAGAGAGTGAGAGAGAGAGATACGCAGATAGAGAGCTGATAGACAGTGCAAAAACAACAATATTAAAGGTTTTTTATGGCCTATGACGCTGGTGTGCTGCTTTAAACTACATATACTTATGATTTGTCAAGACACTGCTTAGGCCTTGCACAGAATCTGCTCAGACGCACTGCTTAAGCTATGCTTTATCTTCACCGAAACTCCGCTTAAGCTCGGGCCTTTCCACTGCCCAAGCTCTTGTATGCTGCTTCTGGACTCTTCTGCTTGTTCTTTGCCGGCTGCGCTGCGAAGAAGTTTACAAATGAAATGCGCGTGTGTGTCTATTTGCATGTGTTTGTGCATATTTGTTTTTATCTCCTCTGCTCCTCTGGCTCTCTCCTCTTTTCAGCCTTTCTTTTCATACAGCTCTTCCCATTCGCACTTCTTTAGTTGATTGTGCGGGCCTGGATGAATGAAGAGAGCAACAGTGAAAGAGAGAGAGAGAGATGGGAGGTATAAATAACTCTGCTGGAACCGGCTTTTTGTTGTTTGCTTTTGAATTTGTTGTTGCTTTTGCTCTTTGCCTTTGGGTTTGTTTACAAAAAATTGCCGTGTTGGTCGAATTATCGAAGGCAAAGTGCGTAGACGAAAAGAGAGTCTCAGGCCCAAGCACATACGAGAGGTGTGTATGTGCTTTTGGCCAAGTGCGTAATTTCCAGAAATTCTTTTTTGTTTCTGCCTTTTTGCGGTTCTGCCCGCGGTCGACGTCGCTGACGATGCCGCCCCTCTCTGGCTTGTTTTGATAGTCGCCGTTGCCGTCTTTCCCTTCCTCTTTTTGTACGCTTTTTGCGTAGTTTTTTAGTGTTTCCCCAAGCGCAAATCAGAAAAAAAAAAAATAAATTATTTTTGGGTGTTGTTTTGGACAAAAACATTTGAATGGAAATTTTCTAAAATAAATTAAGTGCAAAGGTGTCGACGGTGACGTAGGGGAGCCCAGTATGTGTGTGGTGTGTGTGTGTGTGTGGAACGTGATTTGTGGTAGATTCTATTTTTCATTCATTTTCCCCACATATTTTTACTGTACTAATACCAAACTTTTCTCTTCTCTTGTAGATTCTATTTTAATATGTTAAAATTTGTCTTTGTCTTGGATAAAAAGTAAATTGTAAATATATTTAGAATTCTTCGTATTAAATTTTAATAAAACGCCCAAAAAAAAATATATTAAGAAAAGATTTATCAACAATAATTCCAAAGAAAGGAAATGAAAAGTTGTCAAAAATACCAAAATTTGCAATCATTTGGTCCAAAGGAAATCGTCGCGACAACAAGAAGAAAACTTTGGGCAAAACAAATTTGTAAGGAAGAAAAAAGAAAAGGGCCGCCAGCTCAGAGAACCACTCCAATGAGATCCCATTGAGTGCGCAGAAAGCAAAAGGACTTGACGAGAGAGACAGACAGAGCGAGAGAGAGAGAGATAGAAGCAGAGAAGCGGAAAGAATACCATTAGTCAGAACGGTATAGCATGCGCCAATGAGAGCGTCCCACCAGCTTAGAGCGTCCGATTTCGTTGACTACGCTGCCGTCGTGGGAGTGGGAGTGAGAGGTGGTGTGGGACTGGGTCTAGGACTGGAATTGGGCGAAGGATCGTATTACAGCAGCGATCTAACGGCATTTGTCGTGGAGCAGGAGCAGCGCCAGCAGCAAAGGGAAGCAGAGGCAGCGGCAGAAGCAGCAGCAGCAGAAGCGGCAGCAACAATCAAGCGAAAACGTCAAACAGGTGAGTGTGCAAGACAGAGACGACCGTAGATGTATGTAAGCAGTACTTGAAGCAGTGCATAATGGGCACTTCGTTACAGAGGGGTTTCCTTGAGCTACAGTCAGAAAAAGTTCAGAAACTATTTATAAGTCGAAAATGTCATTTAATTTCCTTTCTGGATTGCACATCCACCCTCGTCTGATAGCACTTATCGATTGCTGACAATCGTTTCATTTGGCTTTGAGTTATCGTTATCAGACACGCGCTCTGTGGCCAGCAAATCAAAGTGGGTTTTATTTATATTTATATTTATAATATTATTATGTGGCTCAGCATATTTTTTTATTTATTATTTTGTTGCTCTGCTGATTCCTCTTCTATTTCGCGTCTTATCGCTTTTGCTTTGTATGTTTGTGCCACTACAGTCCCCCCTTATCTTCCCCTTTTTTGATTGTTGATTATCACAATGGACGCCTCTGCCTTGGTTACTTGAGAGAGGGAGCGCGATAGAGAGTGCATGGTTTGTGCTGTTCTGTGCTGCTCTCTGTTTCCCAGACTTCAGCTCGTTATGTCTCCCTCTCTTACTCTTTCCACTATCTCTGATTACGTTTGCACGCTCAAACATGTCTGTCTCAGCATTTGACACAGACACACCACTCCCCTACATACACTGCTTTTGACGCCCCTACAATCACCCCTGCTCAATCCCTAAATTTCGTGTTTCTTGTTTACTTTGTTTGTTTCTCAAGATAATTCTGTAAAACTTTGAGAATTGAGATTTTATATATTTTTACATTGTTATCGTTAGATATACGAATTATCGCTCAAATAACAAGAAAACATTTTTAATTAGAAAGATAATCCAATTAGAACTCTTGAAAATTGTAGGCCCAGGTGTATTTTATAGCCTAAAAAATGTTATTATTGGTATACGATAGCTACGATCGGTCTTTGGGGGCATACAAAGTTTCAGCCCAAGAAGCTTGACTTTATCTTTTATTTTTTGTTGATGTTTTCATGTTCTGCTTTCTGCCTTTGTTGACTCTTGCTTCTCTCCTTCTGCTGGGTTTTTGCCTTACTTTATTCGCCTGTTTTTTGTGTGTGGTTTTTTATGACTATAATGATTTATTGTTTGAAATATCACACGCTTCCACACACGTACACTCCTACAGCGCGAAGGTCTCTTCTCTTCTCTGTTGTTACCCATTTCATTCCGTTTCTTACTTTTTATTCTGTTTCACATTGAAAATTCCAGCGGACGGACGCAATTACCACCCCAATTGTCTCCCAATCTAAATTTGTCTGCGTCTCCTCTGTTTCTTATACTTCTCCTCCTCTTTCCTCTGCTTTTATGTTTTTCTTTTCCCTATATTTACTTTTTGCTTATTGCGACTTATAATAATATTTGCTGTAGTTGTTATTTCTGTCTTCATTCGCTTTTCGAGTCTGGAGGAATATTTTATATGCTTCTTTTGGAAGTTTTTTCTGCATTTATTTAAATTTTGTTTATCGGAATTTGATTTTCTTTTGGTATTCGTATTGCAGTATTTTTCAAAATTTATTCGCTCTCGATCGGGAAATCTTTTATTTATTAAGCGAATTTGTACACAGATAGATCTTTTTGTTGGTCATGCCCCCTCATATGCGTGGACTATTTCCGCAAAAACCATTTCATGCATATTTGGCTTATCTTGTTGACATTTTTCACCATATCTTTCTGGATTGTCTGCGAACTTTCCGCTTATACAATTGATAGTTTCAATCCTTCTTTTTGTTTTTATTTGCTGGATTATTTTAGTGCATTTTCCACTTATCTTGTTGATAGTTCCATTATCTTATCGCTCGTGTTTGTTGGCTGGAAATGTTTGGCAATTAGTTTCAGTCAGAGATACGAGGGGTTGTGGCAGATTCCATTCGTATTTTAGATGAAAACTAATTGAAATTGTGGTGTCTCTTGATTTAGCGATGCCTAATGAACATTTTAGGTTCAGATTAGCAAAGGATTTAGGAAATTAAAAAAGTTGTATCCGTAATTTGGAACCAAGAATAATTATATTAAGCTAATTAGCGCATTTCCCATCTTTACATTCAAATTTTTATCAAGATTTCCAGCTGAAAAGATCATAAAAAATGTAGTGAACCCAAGAAAGAACAAAAAAAATTGCAGTAAAAAGATGTATTTTTTTCATACATCGGTGATCTCTGATCTCTCTTATCCCCACTCTCTCTCTTTCTCGCTCTCTCCCTTCCCACCCAACTCATGGCATACCATTCCCTGCCCCAATTATCTTCTCGCTTTAACATTCTCAACTTCCTCTGCGGTTTTCCCGCATCTCCCATAACCCTCTCTCTCTCTCTCTCTCCGTGGAGATCAACGTTTGCTATGTTGTTGGACTTTCGCTCATAAATCTTGTCGTTTCTGCTAATAATTTGCCCTCACTTCTGCCCTTGTTCTCCCTCTCTCTTTCTCGTTTGTTGCTCTCCTCTCCTGTGGATCGCATTGAGTGGGAGTGAAAGGAGCTTAGGCACAGCTGCGCGACCGACCCCAGGCACCCGATGGACTATCATCTGTATATCTGCCTGTCTCTCTTCCTGCCCCACACTCAGCCTGTCTGTCCGTGTAGGCGTTCCTTTTTAGCAATTTCTCTCTGTACACACACACATACCGGGAATGTTTATAACCGGTGCGAAGCCTGCTCTGCTCTCCTTTTTCGCCTGGCTTACAGTTGTTTTTGGGCAACTTTAATAACGGAGAATCTTTCACTTTGCCTCCTTGTTGGGGGCTGCTGCTGTGACTACGCTTCATGTTGTTCCACTGCGTTCTGCTGCTGCTCTGCCTTCTGCTTGGCTCCTTGTTGATTGATGTCGTGTTATTTGATACATTATGTGGCTCCCATGCCATTGATGTCATCACGGCGTGTGAAATGTTAGAGATGAGTGCGTGAGCATAACACACCCTGTAGCGTCTGTCTCTGGAAACAGTTTCCATCACTCAAAATAGGTGGCAAACAGGTTCCACACTCACTCACTCTCAGGTTCCCCAAAAGGGAAATTGGTACACGCGTGCATCTCTCATTAAAGCTGGTTCCCGACTCCCCCCTCCTCGCCGCTCCAACCATCTTTCCCTTTGACTTCTTGTTCTTTTTGTTGGTTATGTGATACGTTAATGGCGGCCCAGGCCCTGCTTCTGTTTATGGTCGTGCGTGTGCCTGTGTGAGTGCGTTCGTTCGTTCGGTGGGCTTTCGGCGACACACACAAAAAGCAAGAGCCACAAAAGTAGAAAAGCAGCGACGCAGCAGCGAAGGCAAGGCAGCTCTAGCAGCAGCGAAGGTTTCTTCAAAGATAGGCAGCGTCGCAGCCCACGCACCAGAAGCCAGCCAGCAGAACAGAGGGAGAGAGCCAAAAAGACAGAGGGAGCATTGGGAGAGATTGAGGGCAAAGCTCACATGTCAATCATAGGCTTTGACGACTTCTCCTTTCGCTGCTTGTCCATTCAATGCTATAACGGCAGTGCTCCTGCTTTTACTGAATCCTCTTATAGAACTCAAACTGTTTCTTGCTTTCGTTGAACTGCTTACTTTTAGCTTAAAATTATTTTGTTTGCATTTTGGCATGACATAAAAGAGCGAGAGCAGCACATTTGTAGGTTGATAAGGGGGGGAGAGATAAATGTAAATTGGAAATTGTCATGCCAAAAATCACGTAGCACATCGTAGACCTCCAAAACACACACCGATCAACAGAAGACACAGACAAAACGGTAAACAAATGTAATTCAGATTCAGTTTTGGACTACCATGCAGATTCGGACTCCGATTCGGAGTCGTAATGTCCCCAACGTAAGCCAACGACCGACCCAAAACCCGCGTGAAACCCATGAATATAGTTAATAGGCCTTACAAATGAATAATTAATATAATTCCATTTGGGATTCACGGGTTTCAAAGGGGGATCTCTTTCGGCGATCGATACTTGAAATCGAACTCTTGTCGCGGCACGAGAGAAGGTCAAACAAAGGGAGAGATAGATACAAAGATAGCGTGAATGGGAGAGGGAGAGTGTCAGCTGTCCTCAGTAACAGTATTTGCCAGATACACAGAGCCAGCCCCCACAAACATTTCAATTAAACCCAAAAGCAAACACAACAAACGGAATGATAGGCAAACAGAGATAGAGAGAGAGAGACAAATAGAGACGAGCAGGCAATAAGCAAAAGATACCTAAAACCAGATAAAGCAGAATGCCCAAAAATTATCTTTATTCTGTGTGTTTTTATTTGGTTTTTCGCGCTTTTCCTTAAATTAATTTTGACATGCCACAAAAATGCGACTATGTACCAGCACCCCGCTTGCCACTGTGGAAGTACAGTGAAAGCTTCCCTTCGGGGGTAAATATTTCATAGATCAAATAAGTGGCAGGAACATTTCATGAAGAACTAGAATCTATTTATTTTCCATCTGTACCATCGCGTACCTCTCTTAGAGCTCCCACTGTATTATGTAGTCGTTGATGCATGATTGATAGGGTCAACTTATTTGAGGCCCAGACGACTGGCACAAAACTGTGTCTGTTTTAACAAAACGATGAATGGAATCTGCTTTTTGCCCTGAAGGTGACTCTGACAAAGTCTCAAGAGAGAGAAAGAGAGAAAAAAACGACAAAAAGTACTCGAAATTAATGACAAATGGGGGACTACGAAAAGGGAATGCTGTGGGGCATGGGAAAATAAATGTGGATTTTAAAATATAAATAAAGAAACTACATATATTTTATGTTTAAACCCTTTAAGATTATATTTTTCTGCAAAGGTCTCTGCTTTGTATTCTATTAATTTATTTTATTATTTTATTTGCAGGTAAGCCACGAATATAATTGCTGGGATGGCCCCTTTGTATTGTAATTAAGTGAGTTTTTGTTTGCCAAAATATGATAATTCCTTGGGTGGGAACATGATTTTCCATAGTTGGGTTGACTCTGGATAGATCTCTGCTGCTGGGAGAGCACATTGATTTCCACTTTAA